TCCGCCGGAGAAGAAGATCGTGATCGGTTGAGCCGGAGCTATGTCGTGGCAAACGTACGTCGACGACCACTTGATGTGCAATGCGAGCGACGGGGGCGAGGTAATCACGCTCACATCCGCCGCGATCATCGGTCACGATGGCACAGTTTGGGCTCAATCAACCAATTTTCCACAGGTCTATCATCGTATTGAACTCCAACTTTAGTTCTAAGTTCTGTTTCAGTCCTTTTAAGATTCGTGGATTCATAGCCTCGGAGTGTATTCATCGTTGCTATAATAGATCTGTTGATATATATAGCTTCTGATTTAACAATTTCCTTACGGATCTTCACGAAAAAAGTGAAGGCGTGCAACAGATACTGGATTTCACTTCCTTTTTACGCTTCAACTGCCAGAAGATTGATTTTTTGTTGTGCATTTGGTTATTGAAAATGAGAATTGCTGAAATGTGGTGCCTTAACCTAGGTTTTCGATGGGCTAGTCGATTTGTTGGTATATGAGGGGAATGAAATGCTAGAAAGCACCCTTTTTAAACCACCATTTGTGTGAAATTTAAACAATGATTCTGGTGCTCCTTGCACTCAATTATTATTTGATAACACTATAGTTGTTGGTGTGCTGTTCTCTAGGAAATTACTCAATAAGAGTGAAGAGCCAACAATGAAATCTCCAACAAATTAGTGATACCTGAGATGTTAATTTTGACGTATTACACACAAGAGTACAATAGTCCATGCTTTATACTTTTACTTGTTGAGAGGGAAATAAGCTCATGTTCTTTGCTCAATCTTACTCTATGCTCCTGTTTCTAGCACTTGAACATTTGAAGTGAACTATGTTGTTGTTGTTGTTACATGTGTTAATGTGAAATAGCTTCAGAACGATCTATATTTTGAAAAGCATTCAAGAAAGCCGTGATATGTTGGTACTCTGAGGGATGATACCATTTGTGTTAATTTGTGTGTTTCGGGTACTAATGTATAGTTGTGGTTTCCTGATTGACTCTTTCTTGTGACTGTGTTTGCAGTTTAAGCCGGAGGAGGTTACAGCAATTATGAAAGACTTTCAGGAACCTGGAACCCTAGCTCCAACCGGCTTGCATTTGGGGGGAACAAAATACATGGTGATCCAAGGTGAACCTGGGGCTGTTATCCGAGGAAAGAAGGTAAACAATTACTCATTTACTCCCCTTGGCCTATGACTCTCTTGTTTCCCTATTTGGAAACTAAAAAATTTGCTCTTATTCTTCTTTGGAAAAACTTCCAAACTAATTTCAATCACACAATTCCTACTTTACCAAAAAGCCTGACAAATCAAACGAGAACAAAATTATGGGACAAGGGGAGTGCTAACCAAACAAATTTCACTCGATCAATTACGAAGTGCTATACTTTTATGTGCAATTTAAACTTTGTTAAACATTATATTTATTCACATTTGATGACTAAAAGTTACAAAAGAGGTTATTTAGATAGACTATAGACCAAATGTGTAAAAAATTAAGTTGGCCTCTTTACGTGCATTATTTATAGATATAATTATGTTTAATATTTCTAGTTTTAATGCTCCCTGCGTCCCAAAATGTTTGCCACATTACGCAAAGTGAAATTTCAAGTTTTTTCAATTCATTTTATTTAAAGAATGATATTAAAGTAAAAAATTAGTAAAATTTATATATTTAAAAATTATGCCAAAAGTTCTTCAAAACAAGATGTGATAAGAATATTATATTTTACCAAATAATCGATGAAAATGTACAAATAAACAAAAGTTTTTGTAATTTTTGAATAGTGAGTTGTGGCATTCTTTTTGCAATGAAGGAAGTACATACACTACATAGTATACATTGTTTACTTCTCTCCGCCTCGTGAAAACATACAAATAAACAAAGTTCTCGTGATTTTTGAATAGTAAGCTGTGATGTTCTTTTTGGGATGAAGGAAGCACATAGTATACATTTTTTACTTCTCTCTTCAGCGCGATGAAAACATACAAATAAAAAAAATTCCCGTGAATTTTGAATAATGGATCTCTAAACTTTTTGCGCTTCTTTAATTATTGAAGTAGCAGTTAGTCAATCAATGCAACTTTTGATATTGAATCCGGGGTCTCTTTGGAAACAATCTCTCTACTTTCGAGTAAGGGTAAGGTTTGCGTACATGCTTGTGGGATAAATACTTGTCCACTTTCACTTTTCATCCACCCCAAAAAATATTTCAATGTTCTATTAAAATCTCCCTTTTACGTCTATTATTTAACCCACACATCACATTATATCTATTCATTATTAATTTACCTATCACATCATATCTCACCCTCTAATAAAGTAAGGGCAAAATTGGAAAGTAACACCAATATTACACATTACTTAAATCCCATCTTTTTCCAAAATGGAAAAGTTTTATGGGATAGAGAAAGTATTATTTTCAAGTGGATTCTAAAAAATCATAGGTGGTGGGTGGTATTAGACAAACTAGAGTATAAAGAAGATGTGGTAATTCAAAAAATAGTGATGTTATGTCAATACTATGGACGACAATGAGGCAAATCCCACGTAGGTGGTGGGGTGGTATTAGACAATCTCGGGCACGTTTGGCTACTTCAAGTATAGAGAATATCATCCAAATGGTGGGGTGGATGGGGTGGTATAAGACAATCTCGAGATTCTCTATACGTTTTTAAATCATAGGTGGTGGGGGTGGTATTAGACAATCTAGACAATCTCGGGCACGTTTGCTTTGGGAATTGACTATTAGAAAGATCTACAAGACTATTAGAACATGTCTTAATTAATGAAAACATAACACTATTGTCACGAATCACTTAATACTTTATTCCTAAACAATTAAAACATAATTGTCAATCTAAAATTATAATCCTCTATCAACAACAACAACAACGATAAGAATAATAGCTTGAAAGTACCACCATTCACAGAGTCAAATTTTACCCACTTTGTTTGCTAATTTTTACTACTCATTTCATTAAAATATTGTCTTGTTACCTCTTGTTTTGTAAAACTTTTCATGTAGATCTTTATTATATAAATTTTATTTTTACATTCTACACGCACAATCAAATAAATTGAATTGAAAATAGAATCGGTCACGCCTTGTAACATGTAATGGGATGATCTATAGGGGATGGAGAGAGTAATATTTAATTAAAATTTAAACAAACACTTGGCTGCTGGGCAAAAAAAATCCACTACTTGCCCACAGTGAGAAAAAAGGCTACCGCATGCCCACTGTTTGAATGAAAGATGAAGGAAAAGCTTTTTACATAAAAAAGTAATATTCCATACCTGGCCAAAAAAGAAATAAACCCAAAAAGTAGAGAGATGCAAAAGACTCAGAAGTTGGAACTAAGAGGAGTCGTGCAAAGGTTGAGCGCAAGGTTTTTTTGAATGGAAGTAGGTTTATTTGTGTGTGTAATTGTATGGGAGAAGCTTTATTTAAGGAGAATTGTCGTATGGGAAGTAATTAAAAACCGAAGGGGCGTAGTCTAGCGTTTCCAATTTTGCATGTGAATTTTTTTATATTTTTGATCGCCGATCCTATGCGGTTCAACGATCTTACGAGCCAAGCTATCGCAAGATCGTGCAATCTGAAACACGACTTTGACTACCATGTGTATACCCCACCAACCATTACTACTCTTAAGCTGTTTTTTCAAATAACATGGAATATCATATATCCCTCTTTCCCCCTTTGTGTGTGTCTAATGTTTGATGTTCAAGCTATATGTTATCAAATAAAAATGCCCCTCCCCCCCAAAAAAAAACATTTTTTCTTTAACAATTCAAAATGATCTTATGTAATAAGTCAACTTTTACATTTAAAAGACAACTGTATTTTTTATACCAGAACTTTTTACACCTTAATTTCTCATCCAAACCCCCCTTCCCATCACAAACACCAACCAATTATCAATACCATCCTCGACACTTCTCCTTCACTGTCTCTCCTATATCAACTTTTTTTCTACTCATCAAAATTAATCAATTCTCCTTACCGCTCTCTCAAAGTTCATGGTTGTCACAACACATCGCTACAATAATGGTGATGAGCCAACTTGACATGGCAACGCCGATGCCCCATTTATGGTGTCACCACAACATAGAAAATGACAACTATATAATGAGATCTAGATAATATAGGTTTTTGATTACTCACCAATAGACGAGTAATCGATTGACCAAAAACACTACCAAGTTCAAAACTTCAAAAACAGTATAACCTAATAAAAAAGTTAAGTTCATCAAAATTAATGACAAAAATGAAAGTTCAAAACTATACATTATAGTTAGAAAAATAGAATTTGAAAGTGACTAAATTATGTACAAATGAAAGATGTTTGACTGTGCTCGTTCGAGCATAATATAAATAAAAATTCGATATTAGACATGGAATTTTGTTGTTCAACTCATAAGATTCAACCATGTGCATTGGAACTTTTCGCCATTTAACCATTTGACCTTGGTAGCTCAACATGCTCATAGACCACACTATTCAACCGTGGGCATTGATTCAACCTTGATAGCATGACCTTAGGCTCATTGGTCAAACACTAATATAGGCACACAAGATTGGTCAAATACACATTTGAACAGTATGACATGGTTGAAAACACATTTTGAATGGTAAGGTTTGATAAATGCCAAGGTTGAACACAGGTCAATCAAGCTAAGAGTCAGACTATTCAATCATATTCCATTTGAATGAGAAGAAAAGAGGAAGAGCAAAATGGGAAGTCAAGAAAGAGGGTGGGGGTGACGGGAAGGAATTAGTCAAGAAAAAAGAAGACTAAAAGAAGGGTAACTTAGTCTATTTGTCAAACAAATTTTGCCAAATAAGGAAACGGGAGGAAACAAGTGAGACGGCCCAAAAAGGAAACTGAGAAGAAAGATATGGGATGAGGGGAGTATAATTTTTGTTGGATGTATTATGAGGCGTTGTCTTGTGGGGTAATTTGTTGGAACCTTGTAATGGTACTAGAATTGCTATTCGGTTTTGTTGGTGTTAATCTGCAGTAAGCCACGTGTGGATTCATAGGTTCTACTATGAAAGAAGAGATGAGAGGAATGGGGAAAGATACTATGGGAAAATACCCTCTTTTCTGCTGTTACCTAGGTTCTTGGTCCAAACAGTATTGGAATTATTTTTTTTGAACACTAACAAATTTGTTACAACATTGGCTACAGTGATGCCACTGGACTGCAAGGTCTTTGGCAGTTTTGGGAAGATTAATTTGGGACAAAGAGAGCATTTTTCTTTTTTTTCCCCATTTTAATGTCCATTACCATAAGATTTAAAAGAGTCTTTATAGCATATGTTTTAGCTTTGAGTAAACAACGACTCAATCAAAATGACACATTAAACTTATGCTTCTTACTTTCTATGAAGTTTTGAATAGTTAATGCAGGAATGTATCAACAGGCTAACATAAATAGTCTCTCCCTTACAAGGGTAAGGCTGTGTATATCTTGACATTCTTCTCAAATGCCTTTGAAGAGGCAACAAAATTCCCTGCCTAGTTTTTTTTTAAATATTATTGATATGCCTTCCGCCCACTTCGTTATGTTATCTATCCACCACTTAACAGTTCACACACATAATTAAAATTGGGGTATTTTAGTCAACATCTTAAATAATAAATCTTTCACGGAGTTCTATTCCCCACAGCACGACACTTTCTTTACAAATGTCTGGTAGACTGAGCTTTACAATCTCGTGTACCTCTGCAATTGTCTTGATAGTATGAGTTTGTGTGACGATGACTTAGGGACCTGGTGGCATCACAATTAAGAAAACAGGCCAGGCTTTGCTTGTTGGAATATATGATGAGCCCATAACTCCTGGACAGTGCAATATGGTTGTTGAAAGGCTTGGTGACTATCTCATTGAGCAGGGTTTCTAGTCATACCGGTATGTTTCTTTCTTAGTCCCCCCCCCCCTTCCCTCCCCTCCTTCCCCTCTCTCTCAAACAAATAAAGACAATTTGGTTTCGTAGTCCCTCTCTCTCTCTCTCTTACACAACTTGAGCAAGTTTGGTTAACTTTTTGTCTGTTAAGTCCTCTCTCAACACACTTACTCTGCATAACAGAGGATGAAAATTGCGACTGATGGGGATGATTAAAACCCTGCCACTGTGGGGGACAAAAATTGACAATGAGAGATTTGATACAAAATGGCACGAGTGAGGGACTAAAAAAAGCAAATCACTGACCAAAAATGCTCCCCGGCCCCGTCTTATACAAAGAGTAGTATTTTTTCAACATATTTTCGTCCCATAAGAAGAGCCAAATTTGTAGAAAATGCATGAATTTTCCGATCAAAAGCTTTCAAAGAAAAAAAGTACGCCTAACAAGCTAAAAATGTTACATTTTAGTAGTTAAAGTGACAGGTATATTTGATGATTTCTATCAGTTGCATCTCACCAAAGTTTAAAAGGTTTACAGCTGAAAATGTTAACTATATTGTGCTCCATTGTTTCGAGCACTAATAACTCTATTACAATTGTAGTAGTATGTGTTCATATATCGTGTTCCCATTTATTTGCAGTGGATTAATGTTCTACTACTACTGCTGCTGCTGCTGCATAATCAAAGCCAAAATATCATGGGAGAAGTTTGTGTGTGCCTACCAAGGGAGATAGAAGATTGAGATAAATCTTCTTATTATGTATGAAACTCTTTTTTTTTTTATTATGTTACAGAAGTATAAATTGGGTTTTCCTATTTTGGTCCATATTTTTTTTTCCCCTCTTTTTTTCTTGACAATATGGTTTCATGACTTATATTTGGGGTATCATGTTATAGTACGTGGAATGAAAAAATACTTTGGATTTTACTGCTTTCGCCTCTCTTGTTGAATGTGTTAGAGGTCTTTCGACTGTCCAACTTTTGATGGAATGAAACACTCTAAGTTGGGATTCAAACTCAGGCCTTTCGTCTTTCTTAGTTTTAACTAAGGCCCCGTTTGGTACACGGAATTCAAACTATGGAATTGGAATTGAGGACCTCAATTCCAATTCTGATGTTTGGTAGCACAAAAATTATGTAGATTTGGAATTGATAGTGCAAAAAATGAATTGGAATTAACAGAATTTAATTCTATGGAATTGAATCCCATGGAATTTCAATTCCTATTCAATTTCAATTCTGTTAATTCCGTATACCAAATGGACCCTAAGAGATCACTGAGTTGAATATATCATAATACTTTCTTCGTCTTTGAATATTTGATTATTTTTGAGAATTTTTGGCAAATTTTGATCTCAAATTGAATGAAAATGATACTCTTTCTGTTTCAAGTTAAATTGCATGTTTACTACTCGTATTTACAAAGTCAAAATTCACTTACTAGTTAAATAATATAGTCATGTCACTATTAGTTTTGTAGATCTTTTAAGTAATATTTTAACATGTAATTTCTATTTTTTTTAATTCTATACTATTTTTCATATAATATCATTTGAAAATAATTTTGGTGAAATATCGTAAACTGAAACGGGCAGTATAAATTGGGATGAAAGGAGTATTAGATATTAATATAAAAATAAATTTATTAGATATACTGTATAGAATTCTTTCAAAGTACTATTTTTCTAATTAATATTTTAGTACAATGTATATTTTATTAAATCATAGGTCAAAGGTTAAAAAAAATTGATTGAAAAAAGTCAAAATTGGATAAATATTCACAAGAAAAGAAAAGACAAATTACACGACATAAAGTGGAGTCACAATTTTAAAAAAAATTAAAAGTGAAATAATAATTGAATTAGTTAGAATCATTCATTGAACAATTGCGAATGTCACGAAGAGGGTGTTTACGCTACTCAAAATAGATATGTTAGGTAATCACAAACATATCCTAAACCTTATTTTAACACCTAAAGCGGATATTTCTAGACGACTCATAATGAAAGTTGAGATATACTCCGTATCAAACAAGTATAATTTGAGAAAACATTTAAGTATGAGAAATGTTTCTCATAGTCTTAAAAGAGGTTCTGAAGTTACTTCAAACTAAGAAGATTCATCTTTAATCTCTTTCTCTTCAACCCTATGATCATATCAAGTTAATTTATACTCTGTATAGTATAAATATAGTGTATATAATTGTATTATCATTTTAAATCGACCCTATTATAAATACTACCAATTTTAAAGTATTAATGTGCTACACTACTATTTTTTGGACTTTATTAGGGCATACAAATTGAAAGTTGAAACAAGATTCCATAAAATGCACACTATGAGCATATATAAAAAAAATAAGTGTGCTTTTTTGCAATTTTATTATCACAGTTTAATCTTTTCAATATTTTATCGAATGGAGGTGTTATTAATAACAAAATGAGTAGTATTATTTAACAATAAAATGAACATTGTGCAATTACTAACTCTAACGTAACTTATAAATGTGTATACGTAAAAAACAAGCCGGTAGGCGTCGCACAGTTAACAATGCAAGAAATGCCCAAAGGGTAATACCCGAATTCAATTCCTGACAACTACGCACGGAAATAATTATGCTAAGTATACAGCCACTGCAAGTATCCGGTACAAACTCCACTTTTTGCCACCAATCACTGAATAAAGCCCAATTTACCTCCGTCCGGTTGGTTCTGAGGGACCCATGGGGATGGGGTTCATTTGTGTGTGTGTGTCTAAAACGTACATTAAACACATTACATCACGATTTGGATTTATAATATAGGAATTCAGTTAAGAAGAAGCACATTACAGGTTATCATTACCAGACTTGGCTTCCTTTTTTTGCCGCTGAGCAGCCTTATTCAGTTTCTCCAACACAGAATCTTCGAACGCCTGATATCCCGCGCCGACGAGTTCATACAACTTCGACTCCGCCTCGGGCCCCACGCCTCTTGACGCCGGAGCAAAGGGAGGCGGCTTCACGGGCGGGTTGATTGGCACGACCAATAGAGGATTTGAAAGATCTCCCAAAGCGGTCCCACAAGCGGACGCAGCGGCGTCCTTAGAAGCCATGACTACAAGCGCCGACCCTTTGGACTTGGAGCTCTTTATGACGACGTCTTCTACCTGCCCGAACTGCCCGAATATCTCCCTCAACCGTTGGGCAGTGTATCCCATTACGCCGGCCTTCTCCCATGACACTTTTAGCACCTTGTCTTTATCTACAGTAACAGCCCCGCGGGTATCTCGGGCTTCATCCCGTGCTACTCCCCCTGTCTTCGAAGGTGGGTTTGGGGTGGTAGAGGCGTTTTTGTTGGCGAGCATCGCGCGAATTCTCGCGATTTCCTCTTTGAGTTTATGGGCGATTCGCTCTTCTTCCTCTTCTCGTGCTCTTGCCACGTCATCGCTCCGGAAGGCGGAACGCTCCCTCGCCTCGAGGTCGGATGCCATCTTCCTACGCTTTGCGTCGTAGTGAGACTGGCGCTTTGACTTTTCGTGTTTGACCCGGAGAAGATCGTCGAAGAGCTTCCTGGCTTTCTCGTCCTTGAGGATCTCGTACGAAGTCTTCAGCTTTTGGAAATGTGAGTGGGCGTTCGGATCGTCCGGTCTCTTGTCCGGGTGTAACTCCAAAGCTTTTGAACGGTACGCTTTGGATATCTCTTTTTCTGAAAGCTTGGATCCTTCTTCGCCCAAGGGTAAGCCAAGAACAGCATAATGATCGATATGAGAATCCATGTCAGCTGCTGTTTCCCCCACCTTCAAGCAGATCCAAAAGTACTACACGAAGTCAAATGTTGTCTCCGCAACTATTATCCAGATCCACTGATGAAAACAAAAACAAAAACAAACAAGGAAACAAATTCAGTAGAGTCCCACAAAAGTAGGGTCTCAAAAGGGTGTGTGCACGAAGGCCTTACTCCTACTTGAAAGTAGAACTACTATTTCCTATTCATCTATGAAAACCCTTTCATATAAATGTGTGATTAAAACTTCTGCCACTGATAAATTTTCTTTAGAAGGCATAATTAAACAACTAACAAATAAAAACGCATAATGTCGAGTAAGATGCGTGCCTTTGAAAACCGAGTAATGATACAAGACAACAGGTTGATACAAAAAACAGCTATACAAAAGCATATAATCCTAAAACTCAAACACAATCTGTTAACCTTAGTAGGTCAAGATAAACACGAATTCTAAACGAGTGAAAAAGATTGACACATTTAGTCTATGCTGCACGGAGACAGGGAAAGATGCTAGTGTGTAGATCTAAACAAAAAGTTTACAAGGGCACACATATATTAAGAGGTGAAGCTGCCAAAAACCTTGTGGTCCAATGGCATAACGGTAGCTCTCTTAAGTGACATGTGACAGGTTCGAAGCCCAGTGGGGACATTGACTCTCTTCAGTAAGTTGAGAAAGTATGTATGGTCAAATACTACTCCGTATATTGTAATAGAATTATGACACTAAAAAATAATAATTAAGAGGTAAAACTATGTTGTGCGATGTTATTAGATGTTTTTTTGGCACTACCAGTTCCAAAAGTTGATAATATTTGTCTAATCGTGAATCTTTCCATTTTTCCTACATTCATGATTGAAAAATTAAATGATCACATTACAAGAAAAACACAATAATGCGACGAAACCTAGACCGTCACTAATTGTGACGTTTTTCACGGCAGTTGGTGAAATAAAGCAAAATATTTCATCAAGCCAATTTTGAACAAATCAAGAAGTTGGCAAACCCTACATAAAACACGATTCAATTGACATCCAATGATTTTTATTTCTTTCTTACTAAAAATTGCAAATTTTCAATAAACTTTAACTAACAAGTTCAACTAGCACTTCAATAGAACAATACAATCAAAGTAACAAGCTAAGTAGATTAACAATATCCACTACTAACAAAAAAATATCTACTAAAATTGAAATATTTTGATTTCAGCATGTTGAAAAATTGAACTATTACCTCAAAAAAAAACTTAATCTAACCTTACCCTAAAAAATTCCCCTACCTTGTAAACTATCTTATGTTTGGCAACTTCAATCGTTAGGATTGGGGGCAACAATCCTAATAGGCCGAAAAAAAAATAAATTTTACAATAAAAAATCTCTTGGCAACTGGGGGCTGAAATAAAATACATAGAAAATCCCAAAATCGAATTAAAAAACAAATTAAATACAAATCAATACAAGTTAAAATAAGATCTGTAGAGTGGATATTCAAAAAAACATGAAAAAAAAAACAGCAAATGTCAATAATTGACAAAGAAACAGAAAAAAGAACCGTACCTGAAATCCTTCACGCCGGAGGGAATGGAGTCGCCTGCATGTGTTGGAGTTGCGGCGCTGCGGCTGGTTCGTCGGAGAAGATCTCGGATGGGAGACCTGCGGCACGAAGAAGATCGGAGTGGAGAACGGAAGATCGGATGGAGAACGGAAAAAAAAAAAATCGAAGTGGAGAAGGGCAACAGGGAAGCCGAAAGTTAATCTGTTTATCGCCAAATTGATAGAAACTTGGAAAAAATAGAGGAAATTCCATAAAAAGCCACTAGTTACATGACGTTTTACATATTTAGCATGTGTTTGGATGGGGGAATTTGGAAGGAAAGAAAAGTGGAGGGAGGAAAACACAAGTTTCTAGATCTTTTCTCTTGTTTGTTTGCAATAAAAAATGGGGAGAGGAAAGAAAAAGAGTGGAAAAAAGCCTTAAAAAGTTTTCTCTACACTTTTGCTTTTGAAGAGAAAACTCACACATGGAGAGAAAATGCATAAAATAACATATTTGCCCTTTGCCTCTTTTCTAATTTACGAAGTACACCTTTTTTCTTTAACTTTTTTGTTGCTTTATGATAAGGGCACTAATGTCTTTTGGCTTAATCATGCTTTCTTTCCTCTTCTCATTTTCTCTTCTTTTTTACCTATCCAAACAACAATTATTTTACATTAAAAAAAAAACAATTATTTTCTTTTCATTTTCTCTCCCATTTCTTTCCTCTCATTCTCTTTCATTTCATTTTCTTTCCTCTCATTTTCCTTTCAAATCCAATCTCATTTTCCTTTCAAATCCAAACAAAGCCTTAGTCTCTACATATCAAATATTACTAATTTAGTCCTCAATTATTATATCATTTTTTACGAATGGTCCTTTGATAACGTTTTTGTTAAAAACATGGATAAAATTATACTATATTCATACTTCTCTTTCTCCTCAATTAAGCTTCCTCCCTCCTCTCGTACTCTTTCCCAAACTCGTCGCTGAGTTTGAAGCTCTAAACCCAAAACTAAAATGATCATTCTTCTCTCAATTATTAGTCTTTCTGATAGAACCTAAAATAAAAACTAATAAGCTTTACGGATGAGTTTTATCGGTGAGGCTCAAGAAATTCTAAAGAAATAAACATTAAAACTCATCCATAAAGGTTACTGGTTTCAAATTTGGATTCCACCAGTTAGACAAACAATTGAGAGAAAAGTAATGATTTCGGTTTTGGGTTCAAAGCTTCAAACTCAGCGACGGGTTTGAGAAATGAGTGCGAGGGGAGGAAGGAAGCTTAATTGAGGACTGAAAAGAGTGTGAATTTACAATTTTATCCACATTCTTAACGTAAATGCTAACAAAGGACCATTCGTGAAAATGAATATAATAATTGGAGACTAAATTAGTAATATTTGATATGCAGGGGCTAAATATGTAAAACGACCTATAACTGGGGCCTTTTATGGAATTTACTCAAAAAAATAGAACTAATGAAAATATTGGAAAAAATAAAATGATAAAAGAATCACTCGATTAAATAATCGTCCAATTAAATATGTAAGAAAATACATTTTAGATATGAAAAAGAATTCATCTTTTTCTGTATTTAAGGTGTTATATTATAAATGTAGATATATAATGTTATTGTATAGCTATCATAAGTAAATATACTTTTTAAGTCGTTGAAAAAAAGTGGAAGGAGTTAAAAAATCTAGAAGGAGCTGGGAAAAAACTAGGCGTTAGAAGAAACTAAAAGTTAATTCTTCAACCGAAAAGAACAGAGTCTTAGACCGAAAAAGACGGGATCATAGAGTTCTGCTAATGTCTTACTAAGGTTCACATTTAACCTTCTCACATACTCCTTCCGTACCAAAATAAGGTTCCTGTTTGATTTACGATTTTTTACTAGAGTTAATTTCAAATCAATATGAGTAAAAATTAGTGTAGAATTAAAAAAATACGGAGTATATTTTAAAAAACTACTTCAAAAGTTCTACAAAACAACTGGTGATAATGTTATTCTATTTTTTCTAAAAGCTAAAATATCGAATCAGACATTTATTCTATGAATCTCTGATTGTGGATGGATTGTCCAGACCAGATATTTTTGAAACCCCTACTTTTGATATTGAAAACTCATGTCATGACACGACATTTGACATCTTTTGTGCCGGTTCATAAAATTAATGACTTTTACACACTGACTATAGTTCATTATAGCTAATCGATGATGGAAGACGAGGGAGGTGGGGGTGGGGAGAGAGGAGGGAAGGACCCATCGGGGTTTGTGGGATTTTTTAGGGTGTAGGAATCAACGTAAAAGAAACTCTGGTGTTGATTTATAATCACATACTCCCTCCGTTCTAAAACTTTCTTCCCGTTGCGCAAAACGAAGAAAAATCTCAAGTTTTTTCAATCTATTTTATTTAAATATTGGTATAGAAATAAAAAATAAAACATACATATTTAAAAACTACATCAAAAGTTCAACAAAACAAGTGGTGACAAGAATATTTTATTTTATCATATAGGCCATGAAAAAACACAAATAAATATAAATTCCCGTAAAGTTGGAATATTGCTCTGGGAAAAAAGTTTTAGGACGGAGGGAGTACTATATTTTGAGATATACTTTTATTCAATTTTAGGACTTTTTATTCAAGTTCATTTATAGAAATCCTTTTTTAAAAAAATTCTTTAAAAAACTATTTAAAAAAACAGAGTAAAAAAGAAAAAGAAGAAATGAGTGAGCAACATATTCATTGTACTCGTATTAAATTTAAGTCAAAATGTAAAAAAATTCACTGGCTTCACTATTTTTTTTTCACTATTGCTGTTTCAGCTCATTATCAATAAGACTTTTTTTTTTTTTTTGAAATTATCCATAAGACTGATAAGAGGTTGTTCTCCTTGTTCGATCAGAGAGAATTACAGAGAAAAAAATGGGAATTCCATCAAGATTTAAAAGGAACGAGCCTTTCTGGATTGCTTCTCCGTATGAAGAAGCGAAGATCCGAAGGAGCAAAGAGTGTACCCGAGGTTCAACTAATTCTCTCCAATTTCATCTGTTAGGTTTTCCAGATTTCATTTGAGATATTATAGAGAATTTTACTTGTTTTTATTATTTATTTTTATTTAGCTTCTCTCCAATTTTTGAATTGCTCAGATGGGGTTAGTGTACAAGCTGATACGAATACTTTTCTGCATTCATAATATCATATGTTGGGGGTGTTTGCCATTGAGTCTGAAAAAAAGCTTCTGGCCTCCGATTCAAGCTTATTTTCGCCGCAGATTTGTTTTATGAACTCTGTTTTGGAGAAGATAGCTTTCTCCGAAACTACATTTCTGAATCTGGCTTTTTAAAACATGCTTTTCTGCAATCAATGACATAAAACATGTGATTGCATAAGATTAGTCATGTTCTTCATGATAAAGCCTCCTATGCCCAGTGGCGGAGCCAGGTATTGGGGAGAGTGGGGTCAAAGTATAAATAAAAAAATTATAAAGGAATAGTTTATCAAAAATTTATCATACAAGGAGGGGGAGGGGTTCGAACTCAGGGTCTAGTGGCTGATTTCCAGGTCTTGAACCAAATCAGCTAAGCCAAATATTGAGTAAACTACTATATATGTATAAACTTATCCCATTTCAGTGGGTGCAACTGCAGTCATTTGACCCAATGTGGCTCCGCCACTGCCTATGCCTTTATATGGTAGACTTGTGCTCAAATTCACAATTATAGCTATTAGTTGAGAGTTATGCCCAGATTAATTTGTCTATTTGTTCTTGCAATCCGATATGATACCGATAGAATCTTTGAAATCTCTGTTTACCCTTAATGCTTAGGTTATACTCTCTCTGTCCCAAAATAAAGTTTACGGTTTGGCTTCACGGAGTTTAAGAAGAATGTCGAAAGTATAAGAGTGTGATTTATTTTTTTTTAAAAGAGAGAAATAATGTGGGTGTTTCTATGTACTTATAAGTTGGTTTGTCATACTTATTTTTAAGCCAACTTTTTGTTTCTCCGTTTTGACTAAATCATTTACAAAAGTACAAAACTATCTCTAACCTTTTATGAATTTCCCCAAATGACCAATCTTTTATTTAAGTCACTTTATAAAAAAGACTTCAATAAGTAGCTTATGAGTTAAAAATCACTTATCAACAATAAGTAAATAAGCACCTGCATAGATAAACACCCCAATGTGAGTCACATTTTCGTTTTCCTTAATAGGAAGGTGAAGGAGTGTTAAGTTCATTCTGGGGTATTGAAATAAACATAGGGTAAACTTCATTTTGGAATCAGAGGGGGTATCCTTTTTAAGGGTCTTACTTAATGAATCTTACATTATATAGCTAAAAGGTGTGCAGTGCATAACAACGTCTTTATCCCCCCTCGCCACTCCAAAACAGTTTGCTCAAGTCTATGTTCTATATCAATTTGTGAAGAACTAGTGTCTATCTTTTTTTTTTTTTTGACGCTCCAAACTTTGCAGAGGGTGTACGTGCGGGGGCCAAGGCTGCTGGAATTGCATGTGTTTGTAGTGCTATTCCAACGGTATGTATGGTTCACATCAAAATATGACTTCCATTTTTAATGTATTTCACATTGTTTCATTATGTGATAGACTTTTCGAATCCAGCTTGTTTTTTTGTAAATGTCAAACAAAAAAAAGCATAAGAAACTTAAGTCATTAACCACCATTTTTTTAAATGATTGGTTACGTGCAAAACTCTCTCATTTTCGTTGTCTCTTGTGTTCATTATGGGTCGTTTGGTTCACATAATGTGAGGTTACATAATTACATTAGGAGTTATGATCAAGGAGGTTGTAAAATTACTAGATCATAATGTGTCTGGTTCACGCAATGTGATAAACTTGGAATTTTCTAAAATATAGCCGATGTGATCTTGCAACATTAACAAACCCAATATAATCCCAATTTTTATATTAGGTCCATTGTTTACCTGAAGTTGAATAACTCTTTTAACTCCATTGGTAATCTTACAATACCGAGGAAAATAAAGGTAATGCAATTCCCGCTTATCCTTGAAAATTCAAACACCTACAAAGGCTACAATACGTCACATGGGTAATTCCACATTAGGGGTGAACCAAATGTGCCCTTTATTATGTTTCAAATTTAATCTCATTCTCTCTGTATTGTGGGATTTCTCTGTCGCTAAGCTCGAAATTGCTTTCTTTAAATTTCAGTTAGTTGCAGTCCGAACCATTCCTTGGGCTAAGGCTAATCTCAACTACACTGCTCAAGCACTTATTATATCTGGAGGTATGTGATCCCTCAAATAGAAGAAATCTGCATTTCTTTTCTTCTTTAGATTGTCAAGGGTCAGTTTGAAATCGGGAAAATGCTAGAGTAAGAAAGTCTGCATTTCCTTATCAAAAATGGTAATTTTTAACCCGGGTGTTGCTATATCCACCCCTTTTATATTAAATGGACAATTTTGCCCTTAAAAGTGGCTTTGCATCAAAATTCTCTCTTTTGTATTTTTGAGGTTAAGATTGTCAATTTAATATTAATGGAGTGGATATAGCAACACCCTTTTAACCCCAAAGAGACCTTCGTCGTCTGGTAGACAGTAGACACTGTCAGTGTCACCCTTGGTGTCATCTCTAGTGTAACTGTAGCATAACCCAATCCTTACTAGGTCGTGACTACTCCCCACGCCCCAGTCTCTAGGGTGGGTGTCTAGTCTTTTTACAACACTTGTCTTACAAAAACAATGCTTCACTTGTAGGGTCTCTTTTGTCTTTCCAAACTACCTAATAAGCTAACAAATTCATTTTACATCTGGCATTGCAGCTTCCATTGCTGCATACTTCATCACCGCGGACAAAACAATATTGGAATGCGCGAGGAAGAATACCCATTACGATAGAACAACCTAGGACAATCTGGAGGCGAATGCGACTCGGGTGGGGCCATATACGTGCTCCCATCCGCACACATTTGCGCTCCAGATTGTGGAGGTTCAAGTTTCATAACAAGTGTTTGTACAATGCAAGAACAATTCTGAGATCGTCTCTAATAGTCACTCCCTTTGTCCCGTAATAAAGCTTTAAATTTCTTCTTTTATCCGTCGCAAAACAAAGTTCTCCTTCGACTTTTGGAAAAGTTTTTGTGGTTATTATTATTTCTATTTAATTTCATCCACACCAATTTTAATCCTACAATTTTAATCTTCTTAATCTCCTGTCCGTTCAATTGTGGAACATCATAGCGCGGCGGAGAACACTGTTAAACTATTTCAACTGTTTATATACTACGGAGTATATTCATTTGATAAAATAATATAATCGTGTTATCTCTTGTTTAATTGTCTGTAGATTTTTTTATGTAATTTTTAAATATTTGAATTTATTTTCTTATGAATATTTTACATTATTAAAATAAAATAATTTGAAAATATGATCAAAGAATTTGTTAACAACTATTTAGTGCGCTGATGTCATATATAACTATACTAGCAAATTACGCACTACGTGCGGTTGGTGCCCAATCTAATGTGCATTTTGTCTAAGAGTGCTTGTCAGTCTTTTTAGAGTCAAGCAAATTAACTTTTTGACCAATATTTATAAAGAATGAACTACTCCGTATATGGTATATTACCTAGATAAAGCAATTATTTATGGAGTATAAGATAAATCTTAAAAAAATATTTCTACATCAAAATATAATACTAATTTTATTTAATTTATTGTTAAGACTTGTCAACTTTGACGGTAAAAAGGTCAAAGTTCACAAACACTCTTAGATGGAGGTAGTATGAAACACATAGTTAAAATACCCCCATTCTAGAGAAAGCTACACAAAATAATGTACTCAACCTTACGTTAGGAAAGAAAATACCCCATTGTGGAGGAATATCTTAAAACAGACGAGCACATACATAATTGTCTATGAGAAGGAATGTCTTGAATCTTGAACTAATGCTCCACTGCAATTTTATTTCTCAAACCTCTTTTTCACATCCCGAGTCCCTTCGTTCTTCTTTGTCACACCTTATATCTTTGTACCTACACCCAAAAAATATTTTAGATGATGAAACAACCTCAATTTTAAACTTCACAAGCTGTTTTTGTTTATTTCTTGCAAGTTCATCCGATCTTCATGCTTTTATCGAGAATCTAATTAGTCAAACAATTTGTTTGAGTGATTAGATGAAGTAAAATAGAAATTTAGCCCCCTAATCAAAGTGTTAAAATATATTACATAGAATTGAGAAGCTAAACAAATAAAGCACAAAGTGTGCAGCCTTTTTATTAGAATTATACAACAGTAAAACAAAAACAAAAAATACATCATAAAATATGACCAAGGAAAAAGAAGCATTCCAAATATGAGATATTGCTAAACCTTGTAGTCTCGGCATTCTGTTGGTTCTCAGTTTCTTTATTCTCTTCATTTTCAACGTTACTTTTCTGTTTATTTTTAGTCTCAGTATTGATTTTTGTCGTAGTTTGAGTTTGTTGTTGACTTGTAAGTTTATTGAAAGTTAATTTCAAAAGGAGTAATTGGCTTTGTAAAATCCATGGTTTCAGTTTGTATATGTTAAGAAGTGACACAAATTCTGGAAAAAACCCATAATTCCAAATTTGTCACAGGATGCGTTAAAAGTTCTTAATTCAGTCCCATCCAATCAATGAAAGAAAGAATCATATGATTTTTCAAAAAGAGAAAGAGAAGGAAAGCGAGGAAGAAGAATAATCAAAAGCAAGATGCTTGGTCGGCAAAGAGACGGAAGCAAATAGACAGCGATCAAAAGTGGTTTAAAAACTTACCCGGAGATTCCCTCGACGGATTCCCGATCGTGGGCGTCGGAGATTGCGCAGCTGCCGTGGGCGTCCCTGTCGCACTAATTAGGAAGTGAAGTATGAATCTAAACCCCAAAGGAAGAAATTGTTGTCTAATGCGAAGAAAAAGTATAAACTTACCTTGATTTGAGGTAGATGAGTTGGAGAAGACGACTTGGATATGGGCTACGCAGTGTATGTCGAGGGGCGATGGGCAACAACGCAGTGTATGTCATGGGGCAGTGGGCGGCGAAGCGGCCAAAAGGCGGTGACAGAGATGTGGGGAAGTGGGTGACGTGGGTAAAGGGACGGAAAAAGAGACAGAAAAAGAGCGTATTTAACGGAGGGAAACGCTTTAGGCTCTTATAATATAAGGGGGGATAAGAGTGGGGGTAATGGTGAGTTTTTGGTATCGGTTTGAACCAAAAGTCTACCTTTATCCATTACAAAAAAAATGAGCCCCATTTCCGAAGGTCTCCTTAGATGCGGGATCATTAGAGAAGGTAAATTGGATTTTAATCGCAGATTGATGGCAAAGAGTGGAGCCTGCACCTGGTACTTGCAGAGACCCTATGCTTAGCATGATTGCCTTCCAGCGCAATTGCCAGGAATCGAATTCGAGTTTTATTCTTTTGGTATCTCTTGTCTTGCCAACTACGCATCGCCCACCGGCTAGCTTTATCCATTACAAAGTGGTGAGGTGGTAACAATTTATAAAGTTAACTTTGAAACTAAATAGTTGGATTTACGAGGGAAGGGTGGTCCCTACTATCACATATCTCCTACCTTTTGTTTTTAAATATGTATTCTTTATTTTAATTAAAGGAAAAAAAATATTTTGATTATTTTAATTAAATTGATGCGCAATATTGACTATGCTAATGGTTTATGTAATGGAGCAAGACTAATTCTTACAAGACTTGGAAGTCGTGTGTTACAGGCTAGAGTTATTATTGGAAGTAATGCTCGTGAAAAAATGTTGCTTCCTAGGATTACATTGACATCGTCTGATACAAGGTTGTCATTCAAGCTTTAAAGAAAACAATTCTCAATTATGGTTTCGTATGCGATGACCATAAATAAGAGTCAAGGACAATCACTATCTAAGATTGACGTTTTATTAAAAAAACTGGTGTTTAGTCATAGACTATTGTACGTTGTCATGTCTAGGGTTAGAAATCGTTCGGAATTAAAGATTTTGATATGTAACGATGCAAAAAAAAAATCAATATATTTACAAATTATACATATTACTTCTTTAACTTAAATCTTAAAAGATAAATATACTTAACACGTAGACTATGTTGCCAATAAAAAAATCAATTATCGGTTAGCTATAAGACACAATTCACAGTAATCTTTAATTAAAATTAAATAAAAAATCTTAAAATCTATACTTTGAATTTCCTCGTGCAACGCACGAGTGAAATACTAGTTTTTAAGTAAATACAAATATTTTATTAAAATTGATGTTGTAAGTTTATTGTTATATGAACGAGTTTTAAAAAGTTGATGTTGGACATCTTCTTCCCCAAATTGATGTTGCAGGTTTATTATTATGTGAAAATAAATTATTTCTCGAAGCAACTATGTAATTTGTCAGATTTGGGAGTAATGATGTAAAAAGGTGGATTTTTAGGAGCATTGACATAAATTTTTCAATGTTAGAAATAAAGATAATATGAATATTGTTATGAATAAAATGATAGAGATATACCTTGATAAGAACACAAATGAAAGATCAAAGTGCAATGGAGAATGAAAAGAGAAGGAATGCAATGAGAGACTAAAGAGATGAATCATCCATTTCAACATATAGTGCCTCTATATATAGGCTTACAAAGGGGAAAAGCAAAGCAAAGGTCTAATTTAAGGGGATAATCAAAGGACATGGAGAACATCAAAAGACATTTGTACATAACACTCCCCCTTGGATTTTGGATGTTCACCATTTAGGTAGACTTGAGCTTAAGACACTGCCTCGTTAAAACCTTGCCAAGAAAAACCCAATGGGACAAAAACTTGGACGAAGGAAAAAGAGTACAATGCTTATAATGCTCCCCCTGGACATGGCAAAAGATCTTTGAGTTGACGCATTCCAATACCATTGATCATCTTCTTAAATGTCGTGGTGGGCAATGCCTTTGTGAACAAATTCGCAAGGTTATTGCATGACTGTATCTGACGAACCTCAATGTCTCCACTTTTCTGAAGCTTGTGCGGATAGAAGAATTTTGGTGATATGTGCTTTGTCTTGTCGCTTTTGATGTAGCCACTTTTAATTTGTGCAATACAAGCAGCATTATCTTCATAGAGTAATGATGGAGCCTTATTCAAAGATAATCCAGAAGTTTCTCGAATGTGATGAACCATTGACTTTAACCATATGCATTCTCGACTTGCTTCATATAGCGCCATTATCTCCAAGTGGTTTGATGAGGTTGCAACTAGTGTTTACTTTACTGATCTCCATGATATTGCAGCACCACCACAAGTAAAAACATATCCACTTTTCGATTTACCCTTATGTGGGTCAGAAAGATAACCAGCATCAGCGTAACCAACAACTAGTGATTCCGAACCTTTCGAATAAAACAGGCCCATATCGGTTATTCCACGAAGATAGCGTAATATATGTTTAACACCATTCCAATGTCGTCGTGTTGGTGCTGAACTATATCTTGCCAACAAATTAACCGAAAGGCTATATCAAGTCTTGTACAATTTGCAAGATACATTAGCGCCCCTATAGCACTTAAATAAGATACCTCCAGACCTAAAAGTTCTTCATTACATCCAATGATCGAACAACCATGGGACTGCTCAATGGATGTGCCTTATCCATGTAAAATCGTTTTAGGACCTTTTCCGTATATGTTGATTGATGGATAAAAATCACATTTGATACATGCTCGATCTGCAGGCCGAGACAAAACTTGGTTTTCCCAAGATCTTTCATTTCAAACTCTTTCATTAAATAGTTTGCAGTCTTTATTAACTCTTCTAGTGTTCCAACAAGGTTTAGGTCATTTACATATACTGCTATGATAGCAAATCCAACTTCAGATTTCTTGATGAAAACACATAGACAAATTGGATCATTTATGTAACCTTCTCTAACAAGGTATTCACTAAGACGGTTATACCACATTCTAACATATTGAATCCGTATAATGATCTCTGTAACTTGATTGAGAATAACTCACGAGCTTTCTGATTGCATGTTTCAGGAATTTTGTACTGAGTACTTTATTCATCATATGTCAGGGCATTTATACATACACAGGGAGGAGGTAAAGTCTAGGTAAACAAGGTAACCAGATATTCTAAATAATAAGAGTAATATATCTGCCATATTTAACACTCCCCCTCAGATATATCATCGTTCATTA